AAAAAAAAAAAAAAAAAAAAGAAATCCTCCAAGAATATATGATTGAAACTGAAGTTTTCAGGAAAAAAATTTTAGACTCTTAAATTTCAATTTAATCCTCAAAAGCTGACAAAAAAAAAGTGAAGCATTTAATTTTAATCTTCCAACAGAAATTTAAAAAGTCAACAGAACTAAGAATGGGCAGACAAGGTTGAATATTTCACAGTTCAATGACAACAACACCAGATCTCTTAATACTTCCATTTCAATTGTTAGAAGTAGATGTAAAATATATTTAGCACCTGAATGGTTCTATCTAGTCAGGTTTATATGTTTAAATGTCAAAAGCAGGTTGAGAATGCATCTTACAGCAATCACATTCTATCAATCATTTTGGAAACTACAGTTTATTTAAATGATTCTGATAAAACTAAGCCTATCATGATTTGGAAGCATTATATGGAGAGACAGAATTCTATAAAGGAACTTTGGAAAGGTAAAGAGTCAACTTGTCTATACTTAAAGTTGAAATGCTTTCAAGAATAATTTGGAAATATTAATGACCAATAGTATCAGGACCCCAAATAAATGAAATGAAATAAAGCTCCCTCAACATCTATCTGCCTGGTAGCTGGGGGAATGGATATAAATATCTCCTGGCCCTGAGTTTTAGCTTCACTCACACAGTGAAGAGCCTACATTTTGACTAGTTCTGCTCAAATGGCACTGAAGCCACACAGGGTGGAATGAGGGCCTCTATGCTATGTACAGGTCTCTAAGGAACTTCTGTTTACAGATCTGAGTGCTCACTGGTACAGTGAATGGACAGGATATAAATGGGGTTTTATGTTGACAGCTCTACCCAAAACCACCGAGGCCTTGACTCTCACAGTTTATACTCAGGGTAGTATGTATTAACATCTCCTTTCTGTGCCATAAGCATTCAAGAATCAGCTGAGGCAATACCTCTCTGTGTAAGAAAAGAAAAACTGCTCCTTTTTCTTTATTTCCTAATGGATAACATTTCTGTTTTTATGCTTGCTATACACATTATAGAGCAGATTCAGGCACAGAGTTTATAAGGCAAAATCTATAAAAATCACATATTTCCATGATTGCCTATCTCTCAGGTATATTTTGTTATTACAAATTTCCAATGTTATCTTAAATAATTCCATTCCTTGGAGTAGCATTATTCTTGGAAGATTTTTTTTTTTAATTTGGTCTGTAAGATTTTATGAAGTGATTCTAACTTTCTGATCCCAGATCATTTATAAAAAAAAAAAATTCCAAAGACCTGAAAAAAATCTGCTCAGACCTACAGGTCATGCCTCAGCTGCATTACTAACTGGTATGCATATACAGATGTGGCAATAACATTCAGAGGGAAAGACAGAATCCTTGAGGCCTAAAAAGAATAAACTAATGGAGATGGGTATCAGCTAAAGCTTGTGGACTGTAATCTAAATTTCACAGTCCTTCCTAAACACTTGAACACTTCATTCATTCATTCATTCATTCATATATTCACTTCGTCATTCATTTACCCATTCAACAAATGACACTGAATGACAAATGGGGGGGGGCATATGGAGAATAAGCAGTGAAGGACGTAGAGACCCTGATCTCACTGAGTCCAGTCTGTCCTAGTGATCTGTGTGTTCTCTTAACTGTTAGGCATCTAGTAACACTGCCAGCCCCAACTTCATAGTCTTCAGTGGAGACACACATACCACAGAGGCCCATGTGTGAACATCTTCAAAGGGCACAAGTAACCAGAGAATGCTGAACATAAACATAATGGCTTCAGAGTTTCTTGAAGCCTAAGGATATCATCCATGTGCTATAACATAAAAGCTTTAACCGAACACTGCACAAGAGAAAACACCCAGTGCCATGAGTCTCACTCGTGTGAGAGGGAAAATACCAGGTGATGACACTGAGTGCTTCACACCACAAATGGCATAGGAAAGCTGAGATGCTTTCTTCCTACAGTTCTTGGTAACCAAAATTCATTTCTTAGAGTGCAGCTTTCATCAAGCTAAGAACAATTAGAACAGGCTACAGAAAACATATGGGTGGGACTAAAGAGTAAGCCTACCACAGAGGCCCATGTGTGAACATCTTCAAAGGGCACAAGTAACCAGAGAATGCTGAACATAAACATAATGGCTTCAGAGTTTCTTGAAGCCTAAGGATATCATCCATGTGCTATAACATAAAAGCTTTAACCGAACACTGCACAAGAGAAAACACCCAGTGCCATGAGTCTCACTCGTGTGAGAGGGAAAATACCAGGTGATGACACTGAGTGCTTCACACCACAAATGGCATAGGAAAGCTGAGATGCTTTCTTCCTACAGTTCTTGGTAACCAAAATTCATTTCTTAGAGTGCAGCTTTCATCAAGCTAAGAACAATTAGAACAGGCTACAGAAAACATATGGGTGGGACTAAAGAGTAAGCTCTTTTTTCCAGTTAACCAGTAATAACAGTCCCTGCACTACTCTTTTGTAGATATAAACAAAGTACCAGAAAAGTAATTCATTTTAAGATATTCCAAGAAAAAAAAGCAGTAAATTTAAATCTGAAGACCAACTTCCCCCAAAAGTGACATGCAAAACTTCAACAGTGAGCTGGTACTGCATATTCAGGAATGATGTGCTCTGTGGTGTCTCACAGCACCATAAAAATGTACTTCCTGATAAGACCAACAGAAGACCTTAAAAAAAAAGTATGCTAACTTTTACTAAATGTTACAATCAATGATGTAACTTATATAAGTAGGGTTACTTTGTCACATATTGATAGTTACCTCACTTTCACATCCACATTAACTTGATTTTAAATGCAATTAATACATATAGTCAAGGAAGACTAATGGACTACATTCTGCACTTAACCTGGTGGACATTTTCAAATGGCACAAGTGACCAGTGCAAACCTATTTTGCATTGTAAACGACTAAATAAATCTTAATGGATTAAGAATGATCAGCTATCAACACACAAGGGAAATTAAGTGCTGAAATGCCTACATTGATTATTTTAAATTATTAGCCTTACTCTGTTCTTGAATTTGTATGCTTTTAGTGAGCTTTAACACATTTACAAGACTTATTGACTATAATTACAAGAGAATTCAAGTAATGGACACATCAATTATAAGCAACATGTCTTGACCAGACAGTTGCATAAAGAATTCTAAAAAGAGCTCCATTAGCATCTTCCTCTTAGTTTTATTCAGCTTTATCTGCCTTAAGAGAACATGTTTAAAAAACACATATTTTCTATGCATAAGAAGAGTCTGGTTTCTGAGATCATGTCATTTCAGAAAGTGAGCTGCAGAAACAGAGACCCTAATAATGCTAACAAATAAGCATTGAAATGTACTCCAGAAATGGCGCTATAGCATGTGGGTACTTGAGAGAAAGTCTACATGAGGACTACCATGTTTCTATTTACCTACATTAACTCTTTGTGGGTTCTCCTGTTACTTTCTCCAAGGAAAAACTTTGATCTAATTTAATCACCCTCAATTACTAATAATGCTCCATACCTTTGTTTTATCTTCCTCCTTGTAATCATGCACTAAGTTTCAAAAACTGCATGAATTTAAAGTATAGATTTAATAATAAGGCATTATTTAAAAGTAAAGTAAAATAAACCTTACAGTTTTAATGAAAATATGTTCATTGAAATGTGAATTTATTATTCAAATCCACTCATAAATTCAACTATGTAGACAGAACTTGTCTAAGCAGAGCACAATGATTTAGAAAAGCTGTCTATTTAAAATAAAGAATGTATGGCAGGTTTATAGAAACACTGCGGTGAATTTTTACATAAATTTAGAACAGTAACTTATGCATTTCTCACCAAAAAAAACTTTTTTTAATATCTCTCCAAATTAAACATTAACACAGAACCCTAATACGAAAGAATGCAAACGCTCAATCAGGTGCTACCTGAATGAAAACCAAATCCCAACACATACTAAGTGAAACAGGTTGAAATTCAATCCTTGAAAGCAGAATCTACTACTGGGAGCCACATTTACAGATATAAGCTATCTAACAATGAATGTTCGTAAATTCCTAATATTTTTTGAAAATATTTTATTAAAATCTAAAGCCACTTAATATGCCCTCCAAAAATACATTGTCACTTAATATATACTTTGGAAAACCAATTAATCAGGACATAAAACAACTGAAAAGCTATAAAAGAGCTTCACAAAAGCATCAGAGGGACTATACTTTTCGACAAAAGTAAAAGAAACTTGTCCATTAACTTGCCTTTGGAGCCCGTAAGGCTGAATCACCTCTAGAAATGTTAACTGCAAACACTGCTTAGAGACAAGCACAGCATCACACAAAGGTGGAATGTGAATTAAATGAAAGACCCACACACTAATACAAGTAGAGTTCTATGCTTGGATGGGACCCGAAGTCCAAGCTTCATCATTCTTTTGCACTTTATAGGAAAACACTGGCTCCCTGCAGGGTTTACATACCTGTATGAGTTCGAATGTGAGCCAGAAAGGCCATGGAATTGCTACTTCGACACATCTTCCCACAGTACTTGCAAACATTTCCCTGGTTTTCCTCTCTTTCACGATTGATTTGCTCGGTGTCTTCTACTATGTACTTATTCACCTCCCGGAGCAATTCCTCATGCTGTCCTTTAATATGTAGAAATAAATTCTGTTCAGAATCAAAGGGCTCTGTACACTTGACACATTTAAAGGTGGCCCCTCCCTCTGGAAGCTCTTCTACACTGGCCTGTTCATTTCTCATATGACCAGCGCTAGCCAAATGCTGGTGAAGGTTGCTCTCTGTATAGAAGGATTTCCCACACAGTAAACAATGAAAGTGTTTCTCTTTTGTAGGATGCTTCATGGCTATGTGAACATTCAATCCACTAAGTCCATCTGCTAAGAAACCACAATCATCACATCGGATGCGTGTGGACTCGCCGAATGAACTACCTTCAACTTTCCTTTTCTTCAAGCCTTGAGCACAGTCTTTTAGGGGCAGCTCACTAACTTTTACCCCTGTTGCCATCAGAACCTCTTCAGACTGATCTATCAATTCACCATCTTCAGAGTTCTTTATTCTAATTATGGAAGAGTCAAATCGGCCAAAACTGTACATGGTCTGCCCTTTATCATCAATACTTATTATGGTTTCATAAACATCATTACTGTCAACTGTGCCATCAGATGCTGGGCCATCCTCTTCCAAAATAATTTCAGTTTCATGTTGTGAATTCATCAGAATTTCCTTATTCTCCAGAATACGATCTGCCTGTGCATCTTTCAAATCTTCTGAACTCCTTTCACATCCAACTTTGTCCTGGCCACTGCCATCCAGGTCCAACTGCCCTCTCGGTATTTTCACCACCACAGGGGAAATGCGTTCACAAGAATGGTCTCCATCTAGGATGTCAGGACAGAGGGGTCTGTCAAGGACTTTACCTCCACTACTGTCTGTGCTGCCTCCCTCATCCTCACAGCATATGTTTGGATCACTAACATCATTCAACACATCATGGCTTTTCTTGGCTGTCTCACACTTCACAGCAGAGCTTCCCGAATTTTCATTTTGCAAACAGCTTGGGGAGCCACAATTTGAGGAAATATTAAGTGACACTATCTCATGTTTCATACTTTTATCCTTAACAAGGGGCTGTTGCAAAGTCTCACAAAAGGAATGGTCTTCACTCAAATTAGATTCTTCCTCAGTCACAATTTCTACTGAGTTAGGAGCACAGAGTACTTTAGATACATCTAAATTAGTACTGTCTTCTAAAACAGAACAATCTGTAGCACTTCTAGATTTGAGAGTACCAGGTGATTGGTTTGGAATCTGAAATTCCTCATGATTTTGCGAATGTTCTTCCTCAGGAATAATGAAGTTTTTGGACATTTCTGAAGAACATGCTTCCACACTGGAAGAGTTAAGGTAAGAGTGCCTTTTCATTTTATGCTTCTCTGTTGCGGCATGCCTAGTCATCTCTCGACGAGTCACTGCATAGTAATCACAGGCCATGCAATAAAATTCAAACTCTTTTGTATGCTTCCGTTTCACATGCAGCTCTAGAGAAGCAGCAGAGTGAGCACTGAACTCACAGTGTAGGCATTTATTATCACTTGAACCTGCAACATCTCTCTGAGAGTATGCATCATCCTGCTGGAGGTTCTCTGGCTCTAGTGATACCTGTCCCTTTTTATCAGTGAGATGACTGCTGACTTCTCGATCCACAGAATGAAATATATTTTCCACTTCACCTTCAACTGCATTTCCATGATCCACCACTGGCTTTTCTAAAGGAGAGGTTTCTGACTCAGTTGACTTGTTAGCCTGTTCATCAGAAACAGACACTGCTAAATGGGTATTCTTTTTACAAGCTTCAAGGTTACCTCCTTCAGGACCAACAATTATATCTGAACTTTGTTTCCCATTTGCTTCTATTTCTACCCGTCCTTTATGCTTTTTGGTGGCACAATGACGCTCCATATCGCCCTTAGTTACAGTGTAGTATTTACATACTTTGCATAAATAACTATACTGGTGGCTATGTTTGCGTCTGATGTGCACTGTCAAATTTGTAATACTAGAAGCCAAAAGACCACAGTGTGAACAAGTCCGTGAGATGCTGCCTTTGGGTCTCCCTCTCTTTGGAGCAGTGGCTAAGGCTAATTCATCATCTTTGCTGACGACGCCAGACTGTGACAGTTCCTTAGGAGTTGGCATGCTCTTCTCAAGATAGGAATGCTCCTGTAACTGCACACCAACATGGCCTTCAGACCTTTCATTTCCCGAAATGTTGAAGTCTTCTTTTTTATCATTTGCACCTATACATACCCTTTCAATGCATTCTTCAAAACTTAAACCAATATTATTTTTCTTTGCATTTTCAAGATGTTTACTTCTCTTAATATGCTTCTCCATTCCTTCTTTGCTCAATGAATAAAGATTGCATGCTTTACAAAGAAAGTGATAGTCTTGACCATGCCGAAGCTTAATGTGTCTTGTGAGAACAGTGGAAGACCTTGTTTTATAAAAACATTTCTTACATTGAAACTGAGGCTTACTTGAATGCCTTGCTTCATTTCCGTGGCTTACCCTCAACTTAGCAGGTTCTTCCTGAGCTGCTTTCCCTGACTGGTTCATAGAATCCTTTGTATTTTCTGATTCTAAAGTATTGAAAGATAAAACAGATTCACTGTTCAATGATGGAGTAGTCTTTGGTTGAACCATGGAACTATTATGCTTCTCAGTTGCTTTGTGTTCCTCCATGTCTTTCTCAGACAAGAACAGATTACAGGAGGTGCAGAAAAACCCCATACCATGCTTTTCCTTCATATGGTCTCTCAGATTTATTTCAGTCAAAGAAATAAAGGAACAACATTGACAGCCGAGGACAGAAGCTGTTTGCTGGTGCTGATTACTGTGCAAATGTTCTTCTAAGTCTCTTCTTGACGTACTGAAAAAGTTACAAGTCTGACAGTGAAACTGCATGTCTCTTTCATGGCACCTTTTCATATGAATTTCCAAGTCTGTCTTGTTTGTGGCTGTCAGACCACACTCTGTACAGGTACATGGAATCTGGTGGTCAGAAGCTGGCTTTACTACCAGGGTGGCCAGCTGTATGGAGTCTGGAAGACAGGCAGTTGTCTTGTCCTGTGTCACTTCTGGGGTATCTGAGTGACTTTGGACACTGTTGCCCATTTGTACTTGTTTCAGTATTGGCTGTGCATCGTCTGTTTTCATCTGTGTTCTAAAGTGTTTCATATATATCCTCTGAGTTTCATTTGTGCCTCTTTTATTAATTCCTAAAAGATTAAATCTTTTTTTGGCCTGGCCTTTTAGGGTGAAAGTGCCACTTCGTCGGCGAAAGCTATTACCCAACATTAGAATATTTCGCTCAGATCTTGGCCTCGAGGTGGTACTGATACTGATATGTGCTGTCTGTGGGGTATTTTTGGTAGATTCTGATTTACCTAAAAGTCCCTCTGGGATTACTAAGCCTCCTAGCTTTCTGTTCTGGTTTTCAAGATTCTGAGCTACACCAAAAGTAACATTTTCCTCCACAACATCTGCTTTTCCTGAGGAGGTATTCCTGGACGGCACCATTTCAACAAGGAGCTCACTGCTGCTGCCACTGTGTTCAGAACAGCTTCCTCCACAGTCTTGAAATTTGCTCCCAACATTTTGTAATCCTTTTGACTCGCCATTCTTTGCTATTGGTTTAGAAGCTCTTGGTTTCGCTCGAACATTCTTTGTTCCCATAACACATGTTTTTTTAGGAAAATGTTGTTTTGTTAAAATTTGTACAAATCCTCCACGAGCAGCAAGATTCTGACGCCGCAGATGTGTTTTACCAAGATAGTGTGCATTCAACAGGTTTTCTTCCACACATTGAAAGCCACAGAGATCACAAGAAAAGACTTTCTGTGGCCCATGTGTATGTTTGATATGCATGTGAAGAGATGAGCTGCTCTCTGCCTTGTGGCTGCAGTGGCAGCACGTATGTTCTTTAGCCTGTTCCACATGACATTCAGCATGCTTTTCCAAATCAGAACAAGACAAAAATGTACGGCCACACAAACTGCACTTGACAACAGCATCTGTGTTTCCAAAGCTGCAACTAATACTCATTTCTTTCGGGGGGAAAGGAGAGTCTCTTTCTGGAACAAGGGAAATCATTTCCTGAGCAAGCCTTCTTCTTGTGTCTGCTTTCAGAGAAAGGCCATCAACTGTGCTACAGTCACAAGATGGGGAGATGACAATTGGAAGAGCTATGCCTCCATCTGAGCAGTTTGTTGGGAAGGCCTCCTTTCCTACTTCAGCTAACTGGACTCTGGCTTCTTCAGCTGAGCTCTGGGCAGTGCCCAACCCACAGGTGCCCTGTTCTCCAGTCTCAAAGAGCTGCACTGTCTCTACTCTCATTCGTTTGGAAGCATGCTCATTTCTGTCTTCTTCCACAGTAGTATTGTCCAAGTTGGACGATTCTGAAAAACCTCTTTTGCTAATGAAATTCTCAGAAGCAGCTGCTTTCATATCAGATACAGGCCCACATCCAGCACCAGGAGATGAAGTTCTTCTCATGTCTCTTGCTTCCTTGATGTTTTCATCTTCATCATTTTCAGGTTTATTTTCAGAATCCATGCTATAAAGTTCTGGTGATGTTTCTTCTGACAAAATTGGACTAACTGGCACTTACAGCCCTGTGAAATAAACAAACATGGTATTAAGTCTTTAAACATAAAGAAAATGCCAATCTCTTAATCTAAAACTGAGGGAAAAAAATATGATGAAATTGACCTCAATGAAGTGCTTACATATGTAAGTGTGGTGGCACACTCCTTTAGTCCCAGCAATGGGAGGCGGAGGTAGGCGGATCTCCAGGATGGAAGCCAGCTTGGTCTACATAGGGAGTTCCAGGCCAACTGGGGCTACAGGAAGACCTTGTCTCAAGAAGACCAATAAAAGAGAGGAGGGGAGAGGAAGGAAGGGGAGGGGACAGAGGAAAGGGAAAGGAAGAGGAAGAGAAAAGGGAGAGGAAAAGGCGAGGGAGAGGGAGAGGGAGAGAGGCAAGGAGGGAGGGAGGGAGAGAGGGGGAGAGAGGGGGAGAGAGAGGGAGAGGAAGAGGGAAAGGGAAAGGAAAGGTGCATTCAGTGTTTGTACACACAAACACTGGGGAGGCTGAAACTGGAAGAATGCCTTCAGGTCAAAGCCAGCCTAGGCTAAAAGTGAGTACCAAGCCAGCTACAAAGTGAGAGCCCAGCAAAAGAATAAAAAGAAAGGAAGAAAAAAAAAATGGAAGACAAGAGGGAGGGAGGGAAGGAGGGACGGAAGGAAGGAGGAGGGAGGGAAGGAGGGGCAATCAAATTTGGGGGCTACCGTTGACTCACAAAGCAACTATGATTTCTTTGGGGGGGGAATATTCAGATACTGTCCAACAGTTCCCCCACTTCCCATGTTTTAATTCTCTGGACTAAGATTT